GACGGGCAGAAGGCGAGGCCGAATGTTGCAAAGGAGAAGGGTGGAAATTGATCTGCGAATAGAATATGGATAGAGATTGGGAGGATGCTACGATTAACAGAGAAGCTTGCTGCAAGAGGAAACACACCTATGCAAATAGAGGTAAAATATAGACAAGATTATTTAGGTTATGTATGCATATTTTTATGATTCTCTGTATACTACAGTGAACATTGTTCATGTGTTCATGAATTGTTGAGTGTTGATATATAATTCTATAGTTTAATTTACTATTTACTATATCTTAAAGCAAGCCTAATGATTTATAAATGAAAAAAGATAACTTTCTATATGAAGAAGAGCATGTACATGTCGGCAAATCGGTAGAGCTTCCAATCTTCTAGCCCAATTCTCATCTACTCAGGATGTCAAAAGAGATTTCAAATATGATAAATTCATATGAATACATTATTCATGATTGATAGAGAAACATCAAAAATGAATTAATGTATGCAGCAGTTGCAAGGTATGTATTTAGTTTCGTCAAATTCAAAATTCTGCATGTTTCTCTAAGCATCTAATAACAAAAAATTTCTAAATTAACTGAAGTTTTTTTATATAGTTAATTCTGTGTTTAGTTACAACATGTATCATGTAATGCAAGAGAGCTTATTGAGATGGTGTAGTATTCTAACTAAAATGGTGGAGTTTCAAAGTGATGGAACAGAAATCGCATAGAAGATGAAGTGAACATTCTGGAAAAACATGGCCTTCATCGACAGTCAAGAATTGCGTGTGACATGGTTGAAATTTCTGTGCGATGCAAGCTAAACTGGTGTAGTTGTCAAGTGATGGAACATAGAATTGGTTTTAGGAGATGAATGTGAAGTGAACCTTCTGGAATAGGATAAAGGGGTTGACAGCCCAGCAGCACATAAGAGGACATGTAAATGTCCATATATAAATAAATAAATAAGTAAATATATATATATATATATATATATATATATATATATATATATATATATATATATATATATATATATATATATATATATATATAATAATTAGGTTCTTGTGCGGTTACAGTGCCCAGGTGCGGTTGTGCGGTTTAATCTGGGTCATTCATCTCGCTTAAATTAACGTCTAGGATTACCAAAATTTAAAAAAAAACGCGGTGGTAATTTTGTAATTTTTGCATCTAGGTCAAAATTAAGCTGAGCGAATCTGTGATTAATGTGCGTGAGTTTTGTATATAAGATGCGTGAGTTTTGTGTGTAAAGTGCGTGAGTTTTGTGCTTAATGTGCGTGGGGTTGTGCTTAACAATCTAATTTTGCCCTCAGAGGGATGTCCTAACCTAGCATGCCAAGAAATACAGACATTGACAGTAGGTTTACATTGCAAATTGCAAACAGGAAGAGTAGGGTGAACAAGCTGGTAAAGTCCTCTCTTCAATTCAGCCATACCAATCATTTTCCCAAGGTGTTGATCCTGTATGACACACTGATTAGCATGGAAAATAATATGACATTGTGCCTTTCTTGTGAGTTCACCCAATGAGATTAAATTATACTGAAAGATAGGCACACACAGCACATCTGAGAGAACCATTTCAGCAGTGAATTGAACAGTCCCAATGTGGGAGACTTGAGCTTGACTTCCATTTGGTAGATCCACAAAGATACCTTTAACTTTCTTGGGGTTATGCAACAAGTTTATATTGCAAACAATATGATGTGTGGCACCACTGTCCAAGATCCATAGGGATTGAGGACTTGCCAAATTACTATTAGAGTCAACAGAATTACCTTCAATTCTGGTATCTGGGATGAAATTTGCTGCAATTGCATTAGCTTGAGGAGCAACAGCAAGAGGTGAGCTACTTGCTCTTTCATGATGCATAAACTCCATGAATCTTCTGAAATCTTCTTGATTAATAGGAAGTTGATTGGCAGCCCCCACACCTTTGCTTCTTGGCTTCCAACCAGGTGGATATCCATGCTTCTTGTAGCATTTGTCCACAGTATGGCCAGTATACCCACAATAGCTACATATTGGTTTCTGTTTCTGACCAGAGAATGTCCTCCTGTTATCATTCTTGGTAAAGAATACACTTGCCTCTGTCAGATTTTCTCCAAAGCTACTTGATTCACCAATCACATGTCTCTCTTGCTGGGAAACCATGGAGAAGGCTTCCCCAACATCAGGTAAGGGTTTCATCAACATTATTTGTCGTTTGGTGTTTGTGAAATTCTCATTCAAACCAATGAGAAAGGTTGCCAACATATCACTCTCAAGACTTTCTCTGATTTTTTTAGACAATTTCCTTCCACATTCACAGCTAGGTGAGCATTCACAAGAGGGAATTGGTCTTAAAATAAACAGTTCATCCCACAGAAGCTTCAGATGAGTAAAATAGTCATTGACAGTCAGAGTACCTTGCTTGACTTGATGAATTTCTGACTGAATCTCTGCAACTCGGAATACATCCTGCTGGCTGAACCTCTTCTTCAGGTCCTTCCAGACTCCTTCAGCTGTATTGATCCATAGCACGCTTCTTCCAATGGTGGGTGACACGGCACTGAGGATCCAGGAGAGTACCATAGTATTACACTGATCCCAGTAGAAGAACTTGGGATCTGCTTTGCTTGGGATTGGCATTGTGCCATCTACAAAGACCAATTTGTTTTTTGATCTCAGGGCCATCTCTACTGCTCGTGCCCATGAATGGTAATTAGTTCTTCCTTCCAACTGTGCAATCACCAGCTGCAACGAAGGGTTTTCGCTTGGATGAAGATGAAGAGGATCAATTCGATCCTTAGGATCATAGGAAGCAATGGGATTTGGGGTGGGAATCTGATTTGGGTTTGAGGAGCTGGGGTTTGTGGCCATTGTAGGACGAATTGTGTTTAGAGAAAGTGTCCTCCAAGCCATCAAGGCTCTGATACCATGTTGAGAGTGAAGCAGAAAGAAAGTGTCCTCCAAGCCATCAGTTCTCAGGCATCTTGGCCTTTATTTATACACAAGCAATACATGTGAAAGAGATAACAGAAAAGGAGAGGGAAAGGTGGTTAAGGAAACTGCTTCCTAACTAACTTAACAGAAAGGTATGGCAGATTTGGCTTTCCCTTGCTGGCTTGATTCCACATGTGCTAACACCCAAAAAGTTGCATATCACCAACAAGTTCCAATGACGGCCAATCTGAGATAGAATTTGATGGTGACCAACCTGAGATCAAATGGGAATACGTAACTTCTGCTTTGGGATTCATTGTGGGTTTAAGCGTTTACCTTTGGATGGTTTTGCATAACAAGAGATGCAGGGAAGCATACCAACAACTTGACAAAGTTTTAGCAAGTCTATTCGGTCGAAGAAGAAAATCTCCAGGACGCAGAGTTCACAGGAACCGAATCAGATCACTCTAACCTGCAGCCTGCAGGTAATCTTGATAATTTGCTTCATAAAAAATTTAAACACCACAAACCAAAGACTTTTTCCTAAGCTGATTATTCACTCCACTTCATTTTGTAGGTAATATGGATGCTGAGCTCGGTTATTGTGGTGGTGATAGCTCTCAGTTGTGCATGTTTGCATATTTTGCATTTTTGTAATTATTTTGGGTTTGGTTTTGTACTCTAGTATTTTTTGTGTGTTAGTAATTTGAGAATATTTAAGTGTAATTGCTTTGAAGGTGATGTAACAGTGATGAGTGTGATGCCTCAACAATTGATTTTGTTCGTTGGGTCAGCTTCCAGACAGGGGTTCCTCTGGTAGCTGCAAGAGGTGTTGCTAGCAGCGAGTCACGAACAACTGTTGCGTCTTGGTGCTGGCATAATTGGCATGTCTACAACATACCCAATGGACATGGTTGGAGGCTGAATTATTGTATAGACAGCAAATTCTCCTTATCACTACAGGGGAATGTTTCATGCATTATATTATCAACCATCTTCAGAGGATCAAAGAAAATGATCGGTTCGAAGCTAAGGTGGAATTCTAGATGAATGAATAAATGGACACAACCATTAAAGTTGAAGTTCAAATTAAATCAAATTGTTAGTCAAAAACTAAATTAAGTAAAAATAATAATATTGCTATAGTCTATGATTAAATTGAGAATTAATTTAATTTTTTTTTTAATCAAAGAATTAACTTTCAATTACTATGTAGAGAACTCAAAACTGCAAGAGGGGGGCACAAAGTGCCTAAGTCTAGTCTCTCTACACAAAATTATTGTTTTGGCCAATTCATGAGCCCGATTGTTCATCGCTCTAGGGATATGTACAATTGAACCTTGATGAAGATCCTTCATTAAGCTGCAGCAATCCTGGGCAATGATGCCCGAATAGGACCTGTCATCAACCGGGTTGTTAATGCTGGAACATGCGTTCAAACAATCAGAGAAGATGGTTAATTATACAGTCTCAGTTGTCCTCCAAGATCCATGAAAGGGCTTCTTTGATAGCCATAAGCTCCGCGTGGTGTGGACCGAGGCAACAATTTATTATTCCAGCTTTTGCAGCAACAAACAGACCTTCCATGTTCATAATGATGCACCAAAGCCTATATGATGACCACTCTCCACAAATAACGCAGCATCCATAAAGCAGCTCAGGCCCGGAGGTGATGGCGCCTGATTCACCAACATCGTCGAAGCAGCCTTTGTGTACGTCCCCTTGTTCTTATCCGCCATGGTCTGCCAAGTTTCCAGCCGGGTTGTTGTGGTCGTGGAGCCAGGGGACCGACCATATCCTTGTCTGCTGCCTCCCATTTTTGTGAATTAATTTAATATCATATGTACTAACTTGACTTGTTTATTTGTGACGTTTAATCTTTATTACCATTACACGGATTATATGCAATTATAATAATTTGCTAATCAAATTAATGGATATGTTGTACAACCCTTTAATTGCACAAGACAATATTCATATTTTTCAAGATAAAAAAAATATTTACAACACGAAAACTTATAAACACAAAGGATAGATTTTTTGAAACTTCTAATAATTAAAACGAATACAGCAAAAACATGCAACACCTTCAAAAGTTATTACACTTAAATATTGTCCAAATGATAATAACACAAAAAAAAAAAAAAAAAATTTACACGCAATGAGAGTTATCACCACCATAATCACTGATATGAGCATTCATACCTACAAAAGTGAAGTGAAGTGAATAAACATATCGGCTTAAGAAAAATTGTTTGATTTGTGATCAACGGTGTTTATATGAAAAAATTGTGCCATATTGGTATTAATCAAGATTACCTGAAGGTTGCAGAAGCTTAGAGTTATCAGAATCATCAGTTCCAGCGAACTCTGCGCCCTGTTCTGGGAGATTGTTTTCCTCGTCGTCGGGGACCAAATAGCCTTATTAAAACTTCGTCAAGATTTTGGTATGCTTCCCAGCATCTCTTGTTATGCAAAAGCATCCACAAATACATGCCTAAACCCAGAGCAAATCCCAATGCACAAGTTACGTATTCCCATTTGATCTCAGATTGGCCACCACCAAATTCTATCTGAGATTGCCCGTCACTGGAACTTGGTGGTGATTTGCAACTTTTTGAGAGAGGAAAACCGCGCAGATCTTGATTGCCCAGGTAAGAATCTGGTCCAAATGTATTAAGTTGATTGCCGGTTGGAATCACACCTGAAAGTCTGTTGAATGATAAATTCAAGACTGAAAGGAATGTGAGTTTTGCAAGCTCTGCTGGGATCTTTCCATTTAGTTGGTTTGCTGAAAGGTCTAGGGACTCAATAGCTTTCAGATTTCCAATTGTTTTGGGGATATTCCCTGTGAGAGAATTGTGTGATAGGTTAAGAAAGTAAAGTGAAGTGAGACCTCCAATTGTATCTGGTATAATCCCATGGAAATTATTGCATGAGAAATCAATAGATGTCAAGACTGTGAGAATTCTCACAAATTTCGTCGTCTTCCCCTTCACAGTTAGCGTTACCTTAACTTGGTAATTGTAACCACTAAAATTCAAGTAGTCAGAGCTGATCTTACGCCTAGACTCTGCATGATCTTCCTCACTAGCCATTCCTTTCCAATTTAACAACTTTGGGGAGAGTTCTCCAGTGAAATTATTGGAAGCAACATCTATAATCTGAAGATTTGGCCACATATGATTGGCATTAGCACAATGAAATTCACCATAGAATCCATTGGATTCCAAGACTATGACACGCAGGCTTGATAACTTCTTTAGTGGGCATGGAAACGTATCTACAATTTTGTTGCTCCCAACATTCAGAATTTCCAATGATGAACATTTTATTAGAGATTTTGGAATTCTCCCATGAATGGAATTCTTGCTGAGGTCTAATGATTGTAGAGCACAGGTCCTTGGGAAGGAATTGGGTATCTTACCACTGATTTGGTTTTCCCCAAGGTTTAATACTTTAAGTTTCCCAACAGTGTTGAATAGACATGATGGAAGATTGCCACTCAGCTTATTGTTGGATAGATCAAGAACCATCAGATAGCTTGCATTGCATATGGATTCAGGAATTATCCCAGTGAAGCTATTATTTGAAAGAGACAAGAAAGAAGAACCTGAAGCATAACTTCCAAGATCAAATGGTATGGAACCATTGAAAAAATTGTTTGAGTAATCAAGGTACCTTGCTTCTCGATTGGGAAGTTGGCCTTTCAGTTGATTTGAGTGCAAGTCCAATACTGAAAGTCCACTTGGAATTGTGTGAGGATTTTCTAAACCATCTAAGAAATTGTGAGAAAGATTCAAATTGTTTAGATTTCTATTACCCACTTCCCATATCCAGGATGGTATTTCCCCTCCAATTTCATTGTCCGAAAGATCTAAATCCATCATGTTGGATTGATTTCTAAGATCCGGAAAATTTTGCAAGCCACAAGAAACCATTTTCAATACTCTGAGGTTTGTACTTCCAAAATGGATCCTTCCACCCAAGGAGTTGGAAGAAAGATATAGCTCAATCAGCTTTGGGAGTTCAAAGAAATACTCCGGAATTGATCCTTTAAGGCGATTAAAACTCAAATCAAGTCTTTCTAATTGTGAGACAGATACATTCACATATTCATCAACAAGACCATCAAATGAATTGTTGAAAAGATCTAGTGTTTGCAATGATGGAAGTGAAAACAGAGATGATTGTATCCTTCCACTTAAGGAGTTGGAAGAAAGTAACAGCTCACTCAGATTTGGAAATTCAAAGAAGTACTTTGGTAATGATCCATTTAGACGATTATGACTCAAATCGAGAATTTCCAATTGTGAGGTAGATACATTCACATATTCATCAACAAGACCATCAAATGAATTGTAGGAAAGATCTAGGATTTGCAATGATGGAAGTGAAAACAGAGATGGTTGTATCCTTCCACCAAAGGAGTTGGAAACAAGTAGTAGTCGACTCAACTTTGAAAATTTAAAGAAATACTTTGGAATTGACCCATTTAGACAATTAGAACTCAAGTCGAGTACTTCCAATTGTATGGCAAAAACATTATTAACATATTCATCAACTAGACCATCAAATGAATTGTTGGAAAGATCTAGCCACTGCAATGATGGAAGTGAAAACAGAGATGGGGGGATTCTTCCAAACAAAAAATTTGACCCTAAATGTATATTCACAATTTTTGGAAGGCCTTCAAAATGTTTAGAAGAAAGTGTACCTGTCAAGCCATTTTGAGACAAGTTTATGTAAGTAAGATTCTTTGAGTGTAGAAAATGCGGGATTGAGCCAGTGAAGTTGTTATTCGAGAAATCGACATAAGCAAGACTCTTAAGTTGTGCCATTGTAGAGGGAATTGATCCACTTAATTTGCAGCGGTTGAGATCTATCCAGGACAGGTTGCTAAGATTACTAATGGATGGTGGCAAGGAACCAGAAAATTGAGTGTCAGCTACTGAGATCATCCTAAGTGATCCATTCTCAGGAAATGATGGGAATCTGCCACGAAGGTTCTCATTGTATCCCACAATCAATTCCTGTAAACCTTGTATCAGAAATATCTCTCTTGGAAATTCTCCATGCAAGTTACAACCACTAAGGCTCAAGGTCTTCAAGTTAGAGAAATTGGAGAAGAATTTTGGTACTCTAGTGGAAAGATCAACACCATCAAGATAAATGTGTCTGAGTTGAGTCGAGTTCTTAAAGAATTGCTTTAGATTTGGATTCTCAAGTGTAAGTGTCTGATCTAATTCATCGAAGATTGAGAGATCAAGAGTTACCAACCTTGTGAGTCTTGATATTCCATTTGGGACCTGCCCAAAATTAGCATGTGACAAATTGAGATATTTCAGGTTGGTAAGATTATAGATCTGAACTGGAATGTCAGATATGAATCTGTTGAAAGCCAAATTTAGGGTCTGAAAGTATTGAAGACTGAATAGAGGGCTTGACTCGTCAAGACCACCTGTAATGGCTTCATTGTCGAGAATCAAGGTGATGACATGACCTGAGGTGTCGCATTCCACTCCAGGCCAATCACAACAATCGCCTGTGCTGTGGTTCCAGCTTGCAAGCTTGGTTGAAGCGGTTGAGTTGAACTCCAGGCTGCTCTGCAACTGCAACAACAATATTTTCTGATCGCTCATGCATTGGCCTTGGGCGGCTGCCACCACTTTGATATTGTTGAAGCCCCCTACTGATATTATTATTAGTTGTAGCAAGGATATGAAGGAAAGGTATTGAAGGAATGGAGTTTTCATTGTTAGTTGCACTACAAAAAGCTAGCTAAGGTTCAATCAGAATTGTTATTTTGGGATGCTTTGAAGTATATGAGGTTTTTTCAGTCTAAGTTTGGCGTCGATCTATAGTTGCAGCTGCCAACCTTAGATTGTCAAGGTCTTCGTCGTCGTTTACGTTAAAGTCATCATGTCAGTGGAGTCGTCTGATCTTGACTGGCAGTCAACCTTTAGCTTATAGTTCACGGTGATAAGACTCAGCTTTCTCTTTTTCAGATAAAAAAACTCTGATTTCTGATTTCTGGTTTCTGAGAAAGCAACCTTAGCTTGTATTTCACGTTGATAGGACTCATTGGAGTAATCCCCAATCTCTAAGGTTGACCTCCAGTCAACATATATTTCAAATTAAAGGCCCATAATTCCCATAAATCAAAATGTTTTGAAAGTTTAAGACTCCGTATTTTCTAAGGTTGAATTCTTAATCCTAATTAGAGATGATAATTTGTCTCATTCTCGATAGAAATCTTCCCAACAGAGATGGGGATGAGGAAAATTTTTGAAAAATAAAGACAGGAAATGTAAACAATTATATGTTTGAGAACGGGGATAAGGATACCTCACCCCGCTCTATTCCCGAATAATTTTTATAATTAAATAAATAAATAAATAAATATATATATATATATATATATATATATATATATATATATATATATATATATATATTTAGGTTCTGGTGCGGTTAGGGTGCCCAGGTGCGGTTGTGCGGTTTAATTTGGGTCTTTCATCTCGCTTAAATCAACGTTCAGGATTATCAAAGTTTTAAAAAAAAATGCGGTGGCAATTTTGTAATTTTTGCATCTAGGTCAAAATTAAGGTGAGCGGATCTGTGATTAATGTGCGTGTGTTTTGTGCTTAATGTGCGTGAGTTTTGTGCTTAATGTGCGTGGGGATGTGCTTATCGTGAGTAGTTGTTAAAACTTAAAGTCTGTGAGTTAATACTTAAAGTGCATGGGTTTTGTGCTTAATGTGCATGATGTTGTGCTTAATGTGCGTGAGTTTTGTACTTAATGTGCTTGAGTTTGTGCTTAAGATCTAACACTTAAGGTGCCTTAGCTTATACTTCTTTGTTCCAGACACGCTTTTTTTTTTTTTTAATTTTCATTGATTTGAGCCGTTGATCTAAATTTGATCAACTGCTCAGATTTAACCGCACAACCGCACGGGAAGCTATTCCCGCACCTGAACCCTTCCCTATATATAAGAGATCTAAGCAACTAAAACTAATCTTCTCTCTATTCTAGTCACGGCCCTCCCCTAATTCCGGGACCAAAACATAATTATAGTATTGGTTGTGGATGATGGTTTATTTATAGTGTTCAAGTAGGTGTAGATGACTAGATGTTCAAGTAAATATTGATTCTAAATTTTATATTTATCTCCAATCAATTAATGTTAATTTTAGAGATTGTAAAAGTCATTTGTAATTCAAAACATGTGGTTATTGTCAGATTAAGCACTTAATAATAATAATAATAACAATAATAATAATAATAATAATAAAAGGAAGGGGAAAGGGGGAAAGTGAAGAATAAAAAGAAGGGAAAAAGGAAAAGGGGAATCAGGGAAAGAATAAAAAGGAAGGAGGGGGGTAAAGGAAAAGGGAAAACACAGAAAGAATAAAACAAGTGGTGAAGCTACTAGCTAGGATTCGAACCATTGACTTTAGAGTGGAACTATTCATCCATGTGTTTCCCATTCCCCATTTGGAGAATCAGCGAAAAAAAGGACAAAATTTCATTTTTTTTATCCTCTCACCATTAAACAGGAATCACATTTGGTCGCTGATAATTAAAATACTTTAATTAAATGCATAATAATTATGTAATTTGTGTCACTTGTCGGCTATGCCCCGATCATACGTAGGTTACGCTTTGGAAGCCTGCAAAGCCTACAAGTCAAGTTTAGACATCTTCTTTATTAATTTTGTCTCTAAATCTCATAATTATTTAGCTCATAGTTTATTTTCTACCGCTTTTGATTGCACTGCGGCTATGTATTGTGTCACCGTCCCCCCTGACTATATTTCTGCATATCTATAATATAACTACATTGGTTGCTTTCAAAAAATGTAATTTGTGTCACATTTGGTTATATTATTCAATTTTTGGCCAATTATTGTAGAAAGTACTCATTTCGAAAGGAGCATTGAATTTGCTTCTTCTGCTGAAGAAGTACTATCAGCCAAGGAAGAGTTGGCGGACGGTGTTGGTAAACATACAAGGAACTAAAGTCCCCTTGTACAGGGCAGGATCGAGTTTGACAGCGACCAAAAACAAGGACAGTACCGGAGTTGTTCAAGTTCCGTTGGCGCTGAATTTTGAGGTAAAGTCTCATGGGGGACATGATAAGAAAATTAGTGAGGACGGATTACCGGAGGAAGATCTGGTGTAACTACAATTAATACAAAATTATATAAACAAAAAATCCTCATCCAGATCTAGAGAGATTTTAGAGACAAAGTTGAAGATAAAAAGTAAAAAATCATCAAATTCACAGTGAAATTGATGAGTTTTTACCTTTTATCTTCAACTTTGTCTTTGAATTTTCTATTGAAGTAGCTAAAGACACAAACTTTATTTAAAATAAAAAAATAAAAATTTCAAATGTGTGCAAACGCGATTAAGTGTATTTGCACACATTTAATGCGCGTTCGCACACTTAATCTAATCTATACCATTAAAAAATATTAGATGGATGCACATGATGTGTTCTCATGTTCTCACCTAAGCACATGTTCTCACTGGAACCCTACCCTACCCTATATATATATATATATATATATATATATATATATATATATATATATATATATATATATATATATATATATATATATATAGGGAAGGGGTCAGGTGCATTTGTGGCTTCCTGTGCGGTTGTGCGGTTGATTAATGTGCATGAGCTTTGTACTTAATGTGCCTGAGTCTGGTGCTTAATGTGCCTGAGCTTTGTAGTTAATGAACGTGAGTTTTGTACTTAATGTGTCTGAGTCTTCTGTTTAATGTGCCTAAGATTTGTACTTAATGTGTCTGAGTCTTCTGTTTAATGTGCCTAAGATTTGTACTTAATGTGTGTGAGTAGTTCAGAATTACGAGCTCATAAGGAAGCAGAACAGAAAATTTTCACAGTTTCCTTCTTTTTCACAATCTTTGAAGCTTTCATTAGCAGCTCCTCAGTATGCAAAGCAAAACAAGACAAAATTCATTCCTCCACCACTTCGAAACAAAAACAAGAAGAAAATGCAGCAGTAGATGCACATAATTTTCACAGCAGTGGATGAAGAACACACTCACGCACATTAAGCACACAATTCACGCACCTTAGGCACAAGACTCGCACACCTTAAGTACAAAACTCACGCACATTAATATTACACATTCACGCACATTAAGTACAAATCTCAGGCACAATAAACACAATACTCACGCACATTGAGTACAAATCTCACGCACATTAATTAACCGTACAACCGCATATATATATATATATATATATATATATATATATATATATATATATATATATCAATGTTGAAAAAATCGCTAGGCGCCTGAGGACCGCCTAGAACGCCTAGGCGGGCGCCTAGGAGGCCGACCGCCTAGCGCCTAGGCGCGATTCTTTGCAACACTGATGTGTGTGCGTATATATATATATATATATATATATATATATATATACACATATAGACAACTTTTTCTTACTAAATTAGGCTTATTGATCAAAAATAAGAACGGTAAATAGCGAAAAAATGTATCATGGCAAGCATATCTCCAGAGATTAAAATCTTGTCATTATGTTGCTTGTTTGGTGATTGTCTATGAACATAAATTATTTTTTGTTCATAAAGATGTACATGTAATTGTTTGTTTAGCATTTACAGACGTTAATAAATACTAATGAACACAAACAAATTTTTTAAAACCTTAACAAACGACGAACACAAATACTTTAAAAATTTTAACAAATGAACCCAAACAATCTTTGTTAGTGCGTGTTTGGTTCGTTAACGTCCTACTATGAAGCCAAACTTTGATACCGCTTAGCAGGAATAGTTATGCTGTGCATCTGTATGCACCATGCATGGTGCATACAGATGCAAAAACGACGTCGTTTTATTAAAAACGCACGTCTCCCCTTTAAAAAAAAAATTCAAGTTCGATTCCTAGTAACAACATTATTTTGTTCATTCATTATGGAATTTTAGTTCATGGATTATGGAATTATAGTTCATCGATTATGGAACTATAGTTCATCGATTCTGGAATTATAGTTCATCGATTTTGAAATTTTAGTTCATAGATTCTGAAATTTTAGTTCATTCATTCTGAAAATTTTAGTTCATAAATTAGATTATGGAATTATAGTTCATCAATTATGGAATTATAGTTCATCGATTATGGAATTATAGTTTCGAACCTAATTTTTTTTTTTAAGGGGAGACGCGCGTTTTATAAAAACGACGTCGTTTTTGCATCCGTATGCACCATGCTTGGTGCATACGGATGCACAGCATAATTTGCCGCTTAGCAGCAGGGCATTTGGATGAACGTTTTAAGCAATTTATTTGTTTGTAATTCTGTAAAAGCTATCCACCTTTCATTCGGCATATATTCCTTCGTTTCATGATGATATGCCAGGACTCGAGAAGACTCGATCCAGTTGTGAAGTTGAATGTTAAAAGGAGAAAATGCTCTGATCTTTACCAAGACAAATTGACTCCTTGACTACGTAGATAAGGTTGGCTTCAAGAAGACAACAACTATGGAACCCACTTTTAGCTTCAAAATGATCTTTCCTGTTCTGTCCCGATCCAGTTGTGAACCTGCAGGCCTGTAATATAATCTTGATATATAGTTTGTTTCATTAAAAAAATAAAAGTTATGATGTGTTAGTAATTTGAGAATATTTAGGTTTAATTTCTTTGCAGGGTGATGTATATTGTTGGGCGGAACATTTGTTTCAAATTTATCCTTTTTTTTTTTTTTTTTTTTTTTTTTTTTTTGGTGTGTTTCAAAGTTTCTGAATATTTATCTTGTCTCCATGAAGTTTGGGGATACAAAGGTAAATTATTATATCATACTCAAACATGTTACTTAACATTCAAATCCTCCTTTCAACAGAGTTGGTCAAACAATTAGTTTGATAATCAAATAAAAACTTTTTTAAAATAACTCTAACAATGTTGGTCAGACAGTTGGTTTGATAATCACATAATTTTAAGTTTGACTCATCGATGACAATTGTTTATTAATATTCTTGCTAGTATCCCCGTAAGCGGAGATGGAGATGGGCCAGCAATAGTTCAATTTGACCAACGCCAAGCTAATATTCTGCGCGATCGGATCACGTGCGACTGTAGTGACCAAAATTCGCCGGGAAAAAAAAAGAAGAATTCACCAGAGAAGAAGGAAGAGATGTGAAATGACTAAAATACCCTTATTATTTTAACTGTTAAAATTTTTCGGCAAAATTTGGTCGGTAATTTGACCGGAGTGACCAAAATTGATAAAAATTGCATAGTTAAGGTACTAAATTGACACTTTTGAAAGTCAGGTGCTGAAATTAACAAAGCCCCTATAGTCATATGACCAAAATTGGAATTTTCTCTTAAATCAAATTATTAGTCAAAAACTAAATTAAATAAAAAATATTGTTACAGTAGATGACTAAATTGAGAATTTAATTTAATATTTTTGTTTTGGTGACAACCGCCCTCCCCCAAAGCGGACACTATTTGACTTTTCTAAATCTTGTTCTGCTAGCATCAACAATCGGGAGCCTAAACATATCTTGTGGAGAGGCCTCAAGAACTGTCATTCCTATTTTTGTAAATTGACCAAGGTTGACAAGAAAATCAGCACACATATTTCCTTCCCTTATAATCTGCGTAAAGATAACCTCCTCAAATCCCGAGACAATGAATTTACAATCAGAGCATGCGTGATGGCAAAGTCACTAAGGGCATGATTGTCACTCATTACCTTGACCACCGCCTCTGAGTCCAATTTCGCAACTGACCGCCCGAAACTTATTCTTTACCAAGTCATAAAACCTCCCTTAGGCCCCACAACTCAGCAAAGAAAATATTTATGACACCCATGTTAACCACTGACCCACATGGCTTTACCCCCATAAGCTGTATTCCTTTTAGCCAAGAGTCTTACCGCTTCTCTCGCAAGAACACTAACCATATCAATAACCTCCTTGAAATTCCTATGAACTCCATTGAACACTTTGTTGTTCCGTGCCTTCCACATCCCCTAAAGAGTGTAGGAGAATTCAACCCCCCAAGTTGTCCCATCATTGAGTCATTCTTAACTAGAGCAATTATATCCTTAACCCAACATGTCGGGCTAGGAGAAGCACGCCGACAGTCTCGTGCTACAACACAACATCGGAAGTGGTGATCAAGGCTCTCCTCCTCCTCCCTACACCGGGCAATCCACGTTGTCAGTCAAGTGCCTGTTGCGGCGTTCCATGTTAATTAGAAGCTTCTCGTTGACCATGAGCCACACGAACAACTTCACTTTCTCCATGCAATTGATCTTCCATATCCAGGCAAACTCTTCCATATCCAAGCAGACTCTTCTCCCCCCTCCTAATTACCTGCAATCAAATTAAAAGCAGAACGAACCGAAAATTTACCTGACGACAAAGATTGCCAACAAAACTTGTCAACCATGACAAACTTAGCCGAGATTGGAATCGCCTGAATACACTCAACGAGATCGTGCAAGAGGATGTCACTGAGTTTTGGCAAGTCCCAGCCCCGATTATCACAGATGAAATCACTCACTTTAGCGCAAAAAATATTTACAACATGAAAATTTACAAACGCAAAAGATAGATTTAAAATTTTTATTAATTAAAACAAATAGCACAAAAACATGCAACACCTTCAAAAGTTATTACACTTAAATATTGTCCAGATGATAATAACACAAAAAAAAATGCATGCAAGGAGAGGTATCACCACCATAATCACTGATCCCAGCAGTCTGCATTCATACCTACAAAAGTGAAGTGGATAAACATGAAAAAGTGTTTGGTGTGTGATCAACGGTGTTTATATGAAAAATTTGTGCTATATTGGAAGTAATCAAGATTACCTGAAGGTTGCAGCTTAGAGTTATCAGAACCTGTTCCTGCGAACTCTGCGTCTTGGTCCTGGAGATTTTCTTCCGCGTTGTCGGGGACTGAATAGCCGTATTAAAACTTCGTCAAGTTGTTGGTATGCTTCCCTGCATCTCTTGTTATGCAAAAGCATCCATAGGTACGCCCCTAATCCCACAGCGAATCCTAAAGCACAAGTTACGTATTCCCATTTGATCTCAGAGGGGCCACCATCAAATTCTATCACAGATCGGCTGCCATTGAAGGTTTTTGGTGATTTGCAACTTTTTGGGAGAGGAAAGCCACACAATTCTTGATTGCCTAGGTAAGAATCTGGTCCAAATGTATTAAGTTGATTGCCGGTTGGAATCACACCAGAAAGTCTGTTGAATGATAAATTCAAGACTGAAAGGAATGTGAGTTTCGCAAGCTCTGCTGGGATCTTTCCATTTAGTTGGTTTGCTGAAAGGTCTAAGGACTCAATCGTTTTTAGATTTCCAATTGTTTTGGGGATATTTCCTGTGAGAGCATTGTGTGATAGGTTAAGAAAGTAAAGTGAAGTGAGAGCTCCAATTGTATCTGGTATAATCCCATGGAAATTATTGCATGAGAAATCAATAGATGTGAAGACTGTGAGAATTCTCACAAGTTCCATCTTCATCCCTTTCACAGTTAGCGTTACTTTAACTTCATAGTTGTAATAACCACTTAATTTCAAGTAGTCAAACTTGATGTTATGCCCAGACTGTGCAGGATTTTCCTCAATAGTCATTCCTTTCCAATTTAACAACTTTGGGGAGAGTTCTCAAATGAAATTATTGGAAGCAAAATCTATAATCTGAAGGTTTGGCCACATGTGATTGGCATTACCACTGATTTGGTTTTCCCCAAGGTTTACTCCCTGGATCCCAGAACTGTTGAATAGACATGATGGAAGTATGCCACTCAGCATATTGTTGGATAGATCAAGTATGCCCAGAATACTTGCATTACATATGGATTCAGGAATTGTTCCGGTGAAGCTATTATTTGAAAGAGACAAGAAAGTAGCTTTTGTAGCAAAATTCCCAAGACCAAATGGGATGGAACCATTGAAAAGATTGTTTGAGTAATCAAGATAACGAGTGGAATCACTGTGGGCAGGTGTAATAGGAAGTGGGCCTCGCAATTGATTGGAGTGCAGGTCAAGTTGAGTAAGACTGCTTGAAATTGTATAAGGTTGTTCAAGACCATCTAAGAAATTGCTGGAAAGATTTAGACTATTTAGATTTCCATTACCCATTCCCCATATCGAAGATGGTATTTCCCCTTTAATTTCATTGTCTGACAAATCTAAAAACATCAACTTTGGAAATTCAAAGAAATATTTCGGAAATGACAAATTTATTAGATGGTTAGAACTCAAGTCAATGTTATACAATCCTGAGGTAGATACATTCAAATATTCATCAACAAGACCATCAAATGAATTGTTGAAAAGATCTAGTGTCTGTAATGATGGAAGTGAAAACAAAGATGATTGTATCCTTCCACTTAAGGAGTTGGAAGAAAGATCCAGGTCAAACAGCTTTGGAAATTCAAAGAAGTACTTTGGAAATGACCCATTTAGACGATTAGAACTCAAATACAGACTTCTCAATGGTGAGACAGACACATTCACATATTCATCAATAAGACCATCAAATGAATTGTTGGAAAGATCTAGTGCATCCAATGATGAAAGTGAAAACAGGGATGATTGTATCATTCCACTTAAGGAATTGGAAGAAAGTAATAGAACACCCAGCATTGGAAATTCAAAGAAATACTTTGGAAATGACCCATTTAGACGATTAGAACTCAAATCCATAATACTCAATGGTGAGACAGACACATTCACATATTCATCAACAAGACCATCAAATGAATTGTTGGAAAGATCTAGTACATCCAATGATGGAAGTGAAAACATGGATGATTGTATCCTTCCACTTAAGGAATTAGAAGAAAGTAATAAACCACACAGCATTGGAAATTCAAAGAAGTACTTTGGAAATGACCCATTTAGACGATTATAACTCAAATCGAGAATTCCCAATGGTGAGACAGACACATTCACATATTCTTCAACAAGACCATCAAATGAATTTTTGGAAAGATCTAGTGTCTGCAATGATGGAAGTGAAAATAAAGATGATTGTATCCTTCCACTTAAGGAGTTGGAAGAAAGCAACAACTTAGTCAACTTTGGAAATTCAAAGAAGTACTTTGGAAATGACCCATTTAGACGATTAGAACTCAAATCGAGAATTCCCAATGGTGAGACCGACACATTCACATATTCTTCAACAAGACCATCAAATGAATTTTTGGAAAGATCTAGTGTATCCAATGATGGAAGTGAAAATAAAGATGATTGTATCCTTCCACTTAAGGAGTTGGAAGAAAGCAACAACGTAGTCAACTTTGGAAATTCAAAGAAGTACTTCGGCAATGACCCAACTAGACAATTAGAACTCAGATTGAGTGTTTGCAATTGTGAGGTAGATACATTCACATATTCATCAACAACACCATCAAATGAATTGTTGGAAAGATCTAGGTGTTGTAAAGATGGGAGTGAAAACAGAGATGGGGGAATTCTTCCAGAGAGAAAATTTGACCTTAAATTTATGTGCACAACTTTTGAAAGGCCTTCAAAATGTTTAGAAGAGAGTGGACCTGTCAGGCCATTAAAAGAAAAATCTATGCTAGTAAGATTCTTTGAGTGTAGAAAATGCGGGATTGAGCCAGTGAAGTGGTTATGCGAGAAATCAACATAAGTGAGACTGGTAAGTTGTGCCATGGTAGAGGGAATTGATCCACTGAAATTGCAGTAGCTGAGATCGATCCTAGACAAGTTGCTAAGATTACTAATGGATGCTGGCAACGAACCAGAAAATTGAGTGGAAGCTACTGAGATCATCCTAAGTGATCCATTCTCAGGAAATGATGGGAAACCGCCACTAAGATCATCATTGTCTTCCAAACTGAATTCCTGTAAACCTTGTATCTGAAATATCTCTGTTGGAAATGATCCCTGAAGATTACATTCCCTGAGGCTCAAGGTCTTGAGGTTAGAGAAATTGGCTAAGAATTTTGGAAGTACTACTGTACTGGAAAGATCAACACCATCAAGATAAAGTTGTCTAAGTTGAGTGGAGTTCTCAAAGAATTGGTTTAGATTTGGATTCTCAAGTTTAAGATTCCAATAGAATGAGAGGTCAAGAGTTACCAACCTTGTGAGTCTTGATATTCCACTCGGGATCTGCCCTCCAAAACCAGCAGTTGACAAATTGAGATATGTCAAGTTGGTAAGATTATAGATCTGAACTGGAATTGGAATGGAATTGAAGGTGTTGAAAGCCAAATTGAGCCTCTCAAGGTATTGAAGACTGAATAGAGCGCTTGAATTGTGAATACCATCTGTAATGGTTTCACTGTCGAGAATCAAGGTGATGACATGACCTGAGGTGTCACATTCCACCCCAGCCCAAACACAACAGTTGTCCTCTGTGCTGTTGTTCCAGCGCGCAAGCTTGGTTGAAGCTGTTGAGTCGAACACCAGGCTGCTGCGGAACTGCAACAACAACATTTTCTGATGGCTCAAGCATTGGGATTGGGCTGCCACCATTTGGAGCAGCAAGCAGGAGGATATGAAGAAGAAAAGGCGGCATTCAAGGACTGGAGTTTTCATTGCACAAACAAAATTATATTAAAGGCTCAATCTATAACAATTTTGGGATGCTTTGAATTCAAGTGAATGCATGAGATTATATATATATCAAGTTTCTTTAGTCTATAGTTGCAGCTCGTTAGAAGACTTGCAGGGATAAATTTAACCATAGATTGTGAAGGTCGTCGTCCTTTACGTTAAAGTCATGATGTGAGTCGGAGTCGTCTATCTGGCGGCCAACCTTTAGCTTATAGTTCACGGTGTGTGATAGATATTGCAGAATTGAAGACTCTAGTTTCTGAGAGAGTGATGAGAAGCCAATAATATATAGCTTGTAATTCACGTTCATAGGATGTAATCTCCAATCTCAAAGGTCGACGGCCACTCAACATATAAATGCAAATTAAAGCCTCATAATTCCCAGAAATCAATTGTTTTGTGCAGCGGCCAGTTTATTCAAGAAATATTAATTTATTCCACATCTACTAATCTACTAATAAATTATATAACAAGTCAATATTATTAAATTTTTAATGTGAATATAAAATATGTTGACATAATCATATAAATTAATAGGCTGTACATTTTATCTTCAAAAAAAAAAAAAAAGGTTGTACATTTCAATCACTGCAAATTGAACATCCTATTTGTTGTACTCAATTTTTTTAGCAGAAATCAGTCTGTCTTATTAGGGAGATCAGAGAACAAATTTAATATTGCAAAAAAATCCTAACATTATCATCAATAACTAGGTTGCAAATCAAAGTGTTGTACACTCCAATTTAAAGTGAAGCTCACGTCTAGATGTCTATAAAACTTGTTTTCAAATGTGCAACTCTTTTCTTGCTGCCGTGAATGAATAGTTTAATTTTTTGAATATTTTTAATGCACCTCTTGACGGTGCAAACTAAAGTCTTCTCCGAATTAATCAATTATAGGACGACCGACATCGTTGGTGACTGGTCTTTGATAGTGCATGCAAATTAATTACACCACCAACTGCCAAGTCTTTTTTTTTTAAACTAATCACCAACAAAGACTTGTCTCTAAGTCTTCTTATGCCCCACTACTACTTATACTAAAGGTTAAATATATTATTATCTTATGCATGTATTTACTAGGCTGGAAATCAATGTCTTAGTCTTTGAAGTGAAACTCACGTCTTAAGTATTGTAGCTGCCAACCATAGATTGTGAAGGTCGTCGTTTACGTTAAAGTCATGTCAGTGGAGTGGTGTATCTTGACTGGCAGTCAACTTTAGCATGTAATTCACGGTTGATAGATTTTGCAGAGGAGTTTGATTTCTCGGAAGTCAACCTTAACTTTTCCACAACTTCTACGAAATTAAAAATGCAAAGCTTCATAATTCCCAGCTGCAATCAAGATGTTTACGAGATCAGATATGTTTTGTGTAGCGGCCAATTTATTAAATAAATATTAATTTATTCCAAATTTTAATACAAAGTTTATAATTTCACATTGCATTTAAGTTTATTTTCCTTGTTATTTGTTATAATTTTGCCCAAAGTGTCCTCATTTGATTCATTTGTGTGTTTATGTATAATTCTTAATGATTTAGATGAATTGAGTGATTTTTGGGGCATTTCGGATGCTTGTAGAGCCAATGGGAGTCAATGACAAGCTATGAAGGTGGGAGAAACACCTTTTAGAGAGCCAAATTGTGGTGTGTTTAGTGGTCTTGGTTATTTGGACAAACAAAGGCAAAAGTGGAGTAAAAGAGCAAGAAGTTAAAATTCCCGCACAAATCATCCACTACTCGGTATTTTGGTCATATCTCTGCGTAGGAATGTCCAAATTAAGTGTTTTTTATATCATTGGAAAGCTAACCTGAAGGGCTACAACGTTGATGAAGACCACAAAGGCTAATTCAAACGTTTCGAGGGTGAAAATATGCCTAGAAGATGGACACAGTGCACAGAAACTCTGCCTTGTGGCCACGGGTGTGGCCAAGGGCGTGGCCAGATCCGTGGCCACTGGGCAGTGAGCCTTCATTTCTGGCCACGGGTGTGGCCAAGACGTGGCCACACCCGTGGCCAGCCTCTCCAGTGGAACGATATCTAAACTCTATACTATAATTTGATACTTGATAGATGCGTGAAAAACGTCCTCATCACAAGCATTAATGTATAAGCTTCTGATGGGAAAAGAAATATTGGATAGTTATGAAATTAAATGGCAAATCATTTTTTTTTACCGTGCCTGATTATTATCCTAATACTAGTGTAGAATGGTTGTGAAAAATATTAGAATATTAACTTTTTAGAATACCATTTTTAAACTGTACTATACTTAAGTGGGTGTTGGCAATAATTAAACATATGATTTTCTAATAGAGGATCATATTCAACTCATTCACTCACCTTAGATCATTTTTGTGGTAATACATGTTTAAATAAGTGAATGCAAATTAAGTTAATACTCATGATTTTAGACAAAAGAAAAGAAAAGAAAAAAAAAACAAACAACATGCAATAAATAAATTTTTGTACAGTAAAAAATAAAAATGCATTGAGGAGGTCGGAGTCATTGCTGATACGTCCACGTGCGAGGAGATTACTGACATGTCCAATTTCGATATGTTCGGGTAGAGTACCTTTGGTTGTGTTTGCCCTCTAGCTAATAGCATAAAACCTTACTCTCGGAAAAATCGGTCTGAATCATTAAGCTCGACAATATCATCCTGAGTGCAGGGGTAAAGCGTATCAACAAGTATTGTCTTGGTGGGGCAAGTTCGGGCCCAGGCTCAGGTTGAGTTAAGTTGTGACGATGTAGGACCTACTCGGGACTCGGCCTACATAGCGTACGACGTTTATACGGAGCCAGTCCACAATCATACAAGCAGGGATATGTCCCATCAATGGATGTTGAAAATAATGAGATTTTTTTTCACAAATAATTTTTACATCTCTAAATAATTAATTTTTTAATAAATGTTTATCCCTATATAAGACATACATTTTTACATGATTTGATTTTATTAAGACAAATAATGGAGTGAGAGTTTTTTTTTTTTTTTTTTAATTAAGAAAGTAGCTAATTTATTAAACTATAACATGAAACATTTCCTTCCAAGACCCTTATTTTTCTCTCTTTATACACAAAAGTTGACAAAGTCTTTATTTCCTAATGTAGCTTATTAACTAATTTTAACTTGTTTGACCATTATTAGTTGTTTGACTTTGTCAAACAGTTAATATGTGCATTTAATTAATCAATTTGTTTGTAATAGCATATTATTCTAAAAAGCTACACAAAGCCAACTAATATGAAAATTGCAATATTCTATACAGAATACCAAATACCATTGGGGCACTCAATTCACTTTACTATCTCAACCTATCACACAATACTTTCACAAGGAATATCCCAGAAACAATTGGAAATCTGAAAACGATTGAGTCCTTAGATCTTTCATTAAACCAGCTTGGCGGAGAGATCTCAACACGGATTGCAAATCTAACATTCCTATCATTTTTGAATCTATCATTCAATAGACTTTCTGATAGTATTCCAACAGGCAATCAGCTTAATACACTTGATGCAAGTTCCTATTTGGGTAATCCAGAACTGTGTGGTTTCCCTCTCTCAAAAAGTTGCAAATCACCAATAAGATCCAGTGGTGGCGATTCTAAGATAGAATTGGGTGGTGGGCAGTCTAAGATTAAATGGGAATACGTAACTTCTGCTTTGGGATTCATTGTGGGTTTAAGCGTGTACCTTTGGATGGTTTTGCATAACAAGAGATGCAGGGAAGCATACCAACAACTTAACAAAGTTTTAGTACGACGATGAGAGAAAGATGTTGTTGTTAGCCAACAATAACATATTCAAGTTATTGAGTATACATTAATAAAATATTCACAACAGAGAACCCAATTTTGACTAGAATTATTTTTCGTAATCTCAATAACTTCAGACCAATAGATCATCCATCCCGAAAACAGTGATTAAGCCTTCTCCGCATGCGGCAGTTTTGTGCGATGAAAACTTCAATCCTTCCATTGCTTTTCTTCATATCCTTTCAAAAATTGTGAATATAGATTTAGGGTCTAATTTACTCTCTGCAAGAATTCCCCCATCTCTTTTTTCACTTCCATCATTGCAGAAACTTGTTCTTTCCAATAATTTATTTGATGGTCAAGTTGATGCTGATGAGTACATGAATGTTTCTGCCTCTCAATTGGATACACTTGACTTGAGTTCTAACCGTCTAAATGGGTCCATTCCGGATTACTTCTTGGAGCTTTCAAAGCTGAATTCCCTGCTACTTTCTTCCAACTCCTTCAGTGGAAGGATACAGTTTGAAAGTCTCCAAAAGCTCAAGAGCCTCAGCAGATTTGAGCTTTCTCACAACAATTTGTCAGTTGACGTAAGTAGCAGTAGTTCAGCCTCCTCATTCTTTCCCAAGATTACAACATTGAAAATGGCTTCTTGTCGATTACACAAGTTTCCGGATCTTAGAAATCAATCAAGTATGATCCATTTAGACCTATCAGACAATGAAATTAGAGGGGAAATACCAAACTGGATATGGAATGTGGGCAATGTGGGCAAAATTTAAACACACTGTTGATCACAAACCAAACACTTTTTCCTAAGCTGATTATTCACTCCACTTCATTTTGTAGGCCAGTATGGATGCTGAGCGCAGTTATTGTGTTGGTGATAGCTCTCAGTTTGCATATTTTGCATTTTTGTAATTATTTTGGGTTTGGTTTTGTACTCTAGTAAGTCTATCTAGTATTTTTTGTGTGTTAGTAATTTGAGAATATTTAAGTGTAATTGCTTTGAAGGTGATGTAACAGTGATGAGTGTGATGCCTCAACAATTGATTTTGTTCGTTGGGTCAGCTTCCAGACAGGGGTTCCTCTGGTAGCTGCAAGAGGTGTTGCTAGCAGCGAGTCACGAACAACTGTTGCTCCTTTAGAGTGTTAGGCTTCAGAGGATTACTCAAAGGGTATACAATGAGCAACTTGGCAATGAGGATGCTCAGCTCACTCCTCTGATCTGTTGCGTCTTACTTGTGTTGGCATAATTGGCATGTCTACAACATACCCAATGGACATGGTTGGAGGCTGAATTATTGTATAGACAGCAAATTCTCCTTATCACTACAGGGGAATGTTTCATGCATTATATTATCAACCATCTTCAGAGGATCAAAGAAAATGATCGGTTATTGTGGTGGTGATAGCTCTCAGTTGTGCATGTTTGCATATTTTGCATTTTTGTAATTATTTTGGGTTTGGTTTTGTACTCTAGTATTTTTTGTGTGTTAGTAATTTGAGAATATTTAAGTGTAATTGCTTTGAAGGTGATGTAACAGTGATGAGTGTGATGCCTCAACAATTGATTTTGTTCGTTGGGTCAGCTTCCAGACAGGGGTTCCTCTGGTAGCTGCAAGAGGTGTTGCTAGCAGCGAGTCACGAACAACTGTTGCGTCTTGGTGCTGGCATAATTGGCATGTCTACAACATACCCAATGGACATGGTTGGAGGCTGAATTATTGTATTTACAGAAAATTCTCCTTATTAGTACAGGGGAATGTTTCATGCATTATCAACCGTGTTTCGTAATGAAGGTCCTACTGTCCTAGTGCCGAGGATTAAAGAAAATGATCGGTTCGAAGCTGAGGTGGAATTCTAGATGAATGAATAAATCAGACACAACCATTAAAGTTATTAGATCAAATTATTAGTCAAAAACTACATTAAATAAAAAATATTGCTATAGTCCATGACTAAATTGAGAATTAATTTAATACATAGTATGTGTTTTTGGTGATAATTGCCACTGCGTTAAGCGGATATTGTCTGACTCTTTTAAATCTTGCTTCGCTAGTATCACCAATCAAGAGCCTCAACAAATTTTCTGGAGGTGCCACAAGAACTGTCGAACTGTCGTTCCCATTTATGCCGATTGACCGAGATTGGCAAGAAAACCAGCACACCTATTTCCTTCCCTCACGCTGTGTGAAGATAACCTCCTCAGACCCCGATACAATGAATTTACAATTAGAGATGAGTGTGATGGCAAAGTCACTAAGGTCATGGTTGTTACTCATCACCTTGACCAATGCCATTGAGTCCAATTCCACAACTAACCGTCGAAAACCCCATTCTTTACCAAGTCGTAGACCCTCCCTTAGGCCCCACAACTCAGGAAAGAAACAATCTATATCACCATTGTTGACCACAAAGCCTGCTATACAGCTCCCTTTGGAATCTCGTAATAAACCACCAAAAATGGCAAAGTTCATCAAATGCTTCTTGGCTCCATCTGTATTAAGTTTAACCCAACCTTCATTGTGGAGAGACCAGTCGATCCACATAGATTTACCCCCATAAGCGGTATTCCTTTTAGCTAAGAGTCACATCACTTCTCTAGCAAAAAAAAAAAAAAAAAAAAAACAATAGCCACACGCGGTATTCCTGCTGCGGCATTCCACGTTAGTTAGAAGCTTCTCGTTGATCACGAGCCACACGAACAACTTCACTTTCTCCATGCAATTGATCTTCCAAATCCAAGCAAACTCTTCTTCCCCATCCTGATTACCTGCAATCAAACTAAAAGTAAAACGAACCAAAAATTTACCTAACGACGAAAATTGCCAACAAAACTTGTCAACCGCAACAGAATTAGCCAGGATCGGGATCATCCGAATACACTCAACAAGATCGTGCGAAAGGATGTAACTGAGTTTTGGCAGATCCCAACTCCGATTATCAAGGATGAAATCACTCACTTTAGCATTATTCAGGTTATCCGGGATGTCAATCTCATGAAGCAGCCCTAGGGGATTTGTCCCCACCCGCCATTCGAACCAAAAACTCAGGAACTACCATCACCTACCCTCAAACTTGCCCCCACCTCAATAACCGACCTCCCTTTGCATATGCTCCTCCAGCTCCAAGAAGCAGAACTCGGGACCAGGGCTGTAAAGAACTCACCATTTTTCACATATTTTTTAGAAATCACCCGAACCTAGAATTTGTTGGGTCCGTAAGCCCTTGTCAGGCAAGTTTGACCAACAACGCCAAATTGAAATTCCTCGCTATGTGGAGAGCAGACCACCCTGATTGCGGAGTGAGCAAACCTGATCCCAATTGATAAGGTGGACCTTCTTCTTCTACATATTCACCTTAATTTAATATGATATTTACTAACTTGACTTGTTTATTAGTGACGTTTAATCTTTATTAGCATCATACCGATTATATGCAATTATAATAATTTACTAATCAAATTTTAATGGATATGTTGTAAATTAAAAAAAAAAAAAAAAAAAAAAAAAAAAGATTACAACAAGCAAACTTACAAACACAAAACGATAGATTTGAAACTTTTAATAATTAAAACAAATAGCACAAAAACATGCAACACCTTTAAAAGTTATTACACTTAAATATTGTCCAGATGATAATAACACACACACAAAAAAAAAAATGCACGCAATGAGAGGTATCACCACCATAATCACTGATCTCAGCATTCATACCTACAAAAGTAAAGTGAATAAACATATGAACTTAGAAAAAAGTGTTTGGTGTGTGATCAACGGTGTTTATATAAAAATTTTGTGTCAAGTTAGAAAGTAATCAAGATTACCTGAAGGTTGAAGCTTAGAGTTATCAGAATCAGTTCCTGCGAACTCTGCATCCTGGTCTTGGAGATTTTGGGATGCTTTGAACTTTGAAAATTTGGGACTGAGCCAGTGAAGTGGTTATACGAGAAATCCACATAAGTGAGACTCGTAAGTTGTGCCATGGTAGAAGGAATTGATCCACTGAAACTGCAGTTGCTGAGATCGATCCTAGACAAGTTGCTAAGATTACTAATGGATGCTGGCAATGAACCAGAAAATTGAGTGTCAGCTACTGAGATCATCCTAAGTGATCCATTCTCGGGAAATGATGGGAAACCACCACTAAGATCATAATTGTGTTTCAAATTCAATTCCTGTAAACCATGTATCAGAAATATCTCTCTAGGAAATGATCCCTGTAGATTACAAAAACTGAGGCTCAAGGTCTTGAGGTTTGAGAAATTGGCTAAGAATTTTGGAAGTACTACTGTACTGGAAAGATCAACACCATCAAGATAAAGATGTCCAAGTTGAGTCGAGTTCTCAAAGAATTGGTTTAGATTTGGAATCTCAAGATTAAAATCCCAACTGGGATTAGTTGAGAGGTCAAGAGTTACCAACCTTGTGAGTCTTGATATTCCATTCGGGATAAGCCCTTCAAACCAAGCATTTGACAAATTGAGGTATGTCAAGTTGGTAAGATTATAGATCTGAACTGGAATTGGAGTGGAATTGAAGTCGTTGGAAGCCAAATTTAGGGTCTCAAGATATTGAAGACTGAATAGAGCACTTGAACTGTGAATACCATTTGTAAAAATCCCTTCATTGTCGAGAATCAAGCTGATGACATGACCTGAGGTGTCACATTCCACCCCAGCCCAAACACAACAGTTGTCTGTGCTGTGGTTCCAGCGCGCAAGCTTGGTTGAAGCTGTTGAGTCGAACACTAGGCTGCTGCGGAACTGCAACAACAACATTTTCTGATGGCTCAAGCATTGGGCTGGGGCTTGGGCTGCCACCATTTGGAGCAGCAAGCAGGAGGATATGAAGAAGAAAAGGCGGTATTCAAGGACTGGAGTTTTCATTGCACAAACAAAGTTTAAGGCTCAATCTATCACAATTTTGGGATGCTTTGAACTTTGAAGTGAAGTGAATGCATGAGGTTAACAACAATATATATATATATATATATATATATATATATATATATATATATATATATATATATATATATATATATATATATATATATATATATATAGGGTGCGGATCCCATGAGACCCCTATACTAAAATGAGATGGTGAGATGACATCTCATCCATTTGTACATTTGTAATGGATGGATGAGATTGATTTAGGAATGTAATGTAAAATAGGGAATATTATTAATAGGAGGGTTTAAAAGTAATTGTATTAATGTGTTAATTTTGGTTATAATGTGATTAGAATCTTTTCCATAATTAAATATCACAAGTATAATAGAAATGATTAGTTGTCAACTATGCACAGAAGTTGTTGGAGCACAACCGTGAGCAGTAAGAGGGTGTTCCAGACGTAACTTCATTCGACGAACATGTCTCAAACCACAGGTAAGAGATTTGCAGACTCAATTTTTGTAATGTGTTTTGTACAGTGGTCTGTGCAGCCAGGTTGTACGGCGTGTGCTTCGTTTTGTTTGTTCGGTGTGGGCATTGTTATGTGTTGGTGGATGTATTTATATTAATATGCGAGGGGGACACGTCGCATTTGGGGGGGTTTGTGTGTGTTTTTATTGGAATGGGTGGGATTTGGTTTGTGGGTGAATTTAGGTTTGTGCGTTCGTTTAATGCGGCGTGTGCACCTTACTCATTCGAATTAGAATGGTTATGCTTGAATTTAAGTAATTGGTTTGTAAAATTAGTATTACAATGGGTGTGCGTGAAATCATGTGAGGCATTAATTCCCACTAAAGTAGAGTTTATGGCTGTTATTTGGATAGTGCATGCAATGAGGTCTGTGTGTTTTTGTAACGTCGGTCTGTGCGTTAGTTCACGTCGGTATGTGCGTGTTTTTATTATTGTATTACATGGCATTCGGTGGACGACCAGTGGGTGTATTTCTCCAAGGTGCGTTGTCATGACGTGCAATAAAATGATTTTGATTAAATGTGATTTTCTTCAAAGGTATGGCAAGTATTTTTATAATAATGGATGGCAGTCAATAAACGTGAAATCGGGTTTGTGCGTTAGTTCCCCACGGCATGTGAAAAAGGAGAGGACGACACCATAGGGACACCGCTACCATCGGATTTGGAGAAGCCCTCGAGACGCGGGAGGAGAGAGGTGACAGACTCTAGAAGTGAATCGACAAAGAGATATGAAGAGTCCAATCGCAATTACAAATCTGTAATTGGTTTCATCCCATAAATAACACACGTATAAACCCCCCACGCACGCTATAATTATGGAATCTGAAATAATAACACAAGCAAAAGACCACAATGTCCCTACCTCATTTACTAAACATCAGCACATGGGATTCAAAAACAAAAGATCCAAACCGTTAAAAAATAAAAATAAACGAACCAGATTACATCTTACCGTCTCATCAAAATATGAGTCTCATTGGATCCAATATCTATATATCTATATATATATATATTTTTTGAATGCTACTGGCTCTATTACATTGTAGTATCTGTTCATATACTTTCTCAACCTATTGAAATACAAAGAGCCAATAACACCTCCACTGAGGCTCGAACTCACAATCTTCCAAGTGGAAGTCCAACCCGGATACCATTGGACCACATAGTCCTGGTATATATATATATATATATATATTACTAATTTTTATTTTTGACTTTGACTTTGAATTTGGCCATAATTGGTTCATTGACTATTATCATTTACCAATTTTTATTAACAATTTTCAATTTGACAATAAATGATTCATTGACTATTGATTCTGTTTCAAATTTATGGTCAAATTGAAAGTCAATAATGAAAATTGATATGTCAATAATAATCAAAAGACCATTTATGATCAAATTGAAAATTGATGATAAAAATTGATAAATGTCAATAGTTAAATGACCATTCATAAATGAACTCTTTAGATATACTATAATTTAAAACATCTTGATCATAAATTACTCAAATTTCATGAGCACATTAGACATTGCCCCATGGTGCATGAGCAGCATCTTCAAGTTAAGTTTAAACCGAGTCACTATAAGTAATAAGAGAAACTCTCAGCCATTACCAGAGAATGCACTGAGTATACCCTATATTTTAATCAACTCACTTCTACTGAGAATCACACTTTTTAACTTTGTAATTACTAAGTTAATAGTATGACCAATTTGAGTTGAATTGCCACCATGAGTCGGTATAAAGTGAAAAATGGCCACAAAGTAATAACGGTTGCGAGTTATCTGAATAACACACAATAAGTCTATTCAAGCCAAAATCAGCTTGCCATTACTTTATCTAAAAACATAATAAGTATGTCTCAATTCAAGTTATATCATTGATTTATGTCTCATTTTTGTATGTTAATAAAGTTATACATTTTACTTTAAATGTTGTACACTTCAATTTTATTAGATAAGATTGTCCCTACTAGATTATTGTTAGACAAAACTACCCTTACACCGTTATAACTTCATTACTATTTAATTCTAATATTAGTGACTCTATCATTATTACTATACACTTATATCTATCCTATCTTTTTCCTATTATTTAACTATCATTTTATAATTGCTTTAAAAAAATTATTTTATAATTAATTTAATTGTTTATTATTATATTTTAATTAAATTTATATGAATGGTAAATTATATGTATGTGTATATAATACATACATTATTTGCGTATATATAACTTGAATTATAATTTTTAATTTAATTATTTATATTTATTAATGTTTGAATATTGAACATGAATTTTCACGAATCACACGTATAAAATGCTAGTAATATACTCCGTAATACATAATATAATAAATTAATAATCAATAATGCGTACATATTCTTCAAATCAACGATTATATATTAAAAGGACACACATGACCCATCAAAAAAAAAAAAAAAAAAAAAGACCCTCGCCGACACTTTACCCCATCATTTAGTTGCAACGTTGACTTCCTTCCCAATCAGATCGTCAGATTTCACAACCCTAAAAGCGACACTAATTACCCTCCTACGTACTACGTACCACATTCGAATCACTTAGGGGTCGTTTACTTCATTTCTCTGTTTTTCCATTTCCAGTTTTTCATTCTTCCATTTCTCTAGTTTTCCTTCTCCATTCTTCCATTTTTCTATTTCTCCATTCCTCCAATTTTTTATTTTTCTAATTTTCTATTTTATTCAAAATAATCATCCCATATAGTATTTGTACATTTCTACAACAAAGATAATAATAATAATAATAATAATAATAATAATAATAATAGTAATAATTTAATAATAATAACAGCAAATTTGTGTATATAAGGAGGAAAATGGAAAAAGAAAGAGAAAAAGAAAAAGATAATAATAACAATAATAATAATAATAATAATAATAATAATAAAAAAGGGGCACGCACAGGAAGCAACAAAAGTGGAAGTGAAAATGTAGCTTTGAATTTTAAATATCAAACGTATTTGTTGCGCGCAGGATTCGATATCGAGACCTCGAGCTTTAGTACTGTTCACGCGTTTCCATCTCTCCATTTGGAGAATGTGTTTTTTTCTTTCTCCAAAATTGTATAGGAAGTAGAAGAATGGAGATGAGATAAAAATTGGAAACATAAATTTAGTAAACAAGTTCTCCATTTTCCATTTTTCCACTTCTCCAATTCTCCATTTTTCCAGAAAATTCTCCATTTTTCCAATTTAGTAACGACTCCTTAATTTTCTTAACTAACTCCATTGTCGCTTGTTTTGAATACTATTGACACCTATTGAAGTAGCCCAAAGAATCAAGAACCTATCACCGAGATTTAAAAAAATTTATTATGGCTTTAATTCCTTTTTATTGGTGGGCACAATAATCGATCTCCACATTATTGTTGACGAGGTTCAAATCTTAGTCTTTTCTTTCAAATATTGTATATTGAATCAGTGAGCTAAGTTCGTACGAGCTCTTGCTTCAATTCAATTCCTTGTTCTTTTATATGTGTGCATTAAATTTGTAAAAGAATAAGAAAAAGTATTAATGTATTAGTGTATGCTCAATTCACAAATTTATAAAGAAAATAAAGGGAAAATGGCACTTTTTACCCCTGAGTTATATACTTATAGCACTTTTTCCCTCTCAATTATTTAGGTAAGCACATTAACCCCCTCAATTATTCTAAAAGTGGTGCTTTTTTCCCCTAATATATTAAATTGACATTTATACCCTTAAAGTAAACATTTTATTTATTTTATTACTCCAACAAATTATTGCGTATACGTAGGGATGACCACGGTTCGGTTTGAATTGAACCGGATACTAAAGCAATCGAATTAATAGTTTACGGTTATAATTCAGATCTAGAACCCAATATTTAAATGTCAATTTATTAAAATTATGTATCAAAAAAATTGAATCTTGAACCGTGAACCGGCGGTTCCAGATCTGATTCGCGATTTTGAACTGTCTTTATTTTAAAATTTTATTTTTTATTTTAAATAGTCTAAATTCAACAATAAATGTATTTTATTTTTTCAGTTCGGAACATGAACCGTCCGTTCCGGTTCACGATTTTAATAAACTCTAAATATCGAATTTCGATTCTAAATTGTAATTGGAATATTTCGGTTTGGTTGCTATAGTGTTTGTTTAGTTTGAACCAAATTATGGTCATAATTTGTTGGAGAAAAAAAATAAATTAAATATTTAGTTTAAGGGTAAATATGTCCATTTAACATTTTAGGGGAAAAAACAGCCACTTCAATAATTCAGGGGGGAAAAATGCTATAGGTATATAACTCAGGGGGAAAAAGTGCCATTTTCCCGAAAATAAATAAATAAATAAAGTAACATCAACATAGAGAAACTGATAAATATATAAAACACTTATCACGTCTCAGTTTGAAAAAAAAAAAATGATACTTTGTTTGTCATTGAATTATAAGTTTAAAGCGCTTTTTCATGTGATTATTTAAGTATTCATATTTGTCCACTCAATTACTTCTAAAGTGATTATTTCTCCTCTCTCTGTAAAT